GAGTTATTTCATCCATTCAAGGACTACATTTTTTTAAAACAACCCCTTGTCAGAAATAAATTAAAAAACACGTATCAACCACGTTTCCAAAGCTAAAACAACAAATTAACTTTCATTACTTCACTGTCGATAAAAGCAGTAGTCACACCTACCTCTTTAGGAGAAATCTTTAGTTTCCCGGGAGTTTGTTTGCTTTTTGTAAGCCAATTTTCACTGTAAACAAACAAACAAACAATAATCATGTAAGTAAAATCTACAAACCTTCCATGAATTGTGTTTCTTTTATCATTCACAATTTAAACATAGGAAATACTAAAGTTGTTCTCTGTCATAGTTAGTAGTCCATACCTAAATGTAATTATTAATTAATATTTCCTGCTGCTAATCTGCTGGCATCTACAGAGAAGTCCTGAAAAGGACCATTTTTTTTCTGTAGTTAGTGGCCAGGACTCCATTTCTGGTCTTCTTAATGGTAGTTTAGTACATCATCCATGCAACAGGGGTGTCTCCCTTGTTAGAACATGATTTAACTGACTATTTAAATGTTTTCCATGAGGGGGTATCCAGGTTTTCTATGTTAGGTTGAATGAGTGTGTTAACAGTTAGGTGGATGTAAAAGGCTTCTTTTATCTTTTTTTCACGTGTGATTCACGTCCAAGTATTTTAGTATGTTGTTTTATTCCTCTGGCATGGTGAGCTAATGAGGACAGATCGTATTACTTGTATATTATACTCCTGAATTCTAATTGTTATAAGTAGTGTTCCAGCCACTACTGAAGACCTCTGGATTGAATAAAATACATTGTTGGCAATGGAAATGGGGACCATAGAGTGGTTGGAATACTATTATTATACACTCTTCTTGGAAATCCCTAAGGAATTAGATAAGAAATTAGATAATTAAAAATTGTATCCGAGTTCAACGAATTGATCGTTATTAAAATTTAGGCTAAAGAATGCTATACTTTCGTACAAGATGTCGGAAAAATATGATTCCACATTTTCCGGACCATAAGCACTTTTTTAAGAAAAAAGTCCCATAAAATTTCCTAGTGTTTCATGGTCTGAAACTCCGGAAGTGATGTCACCAGTACCACATGAAGAACAGCATCTCGTGGTCTGGAACTCTGGAAGTGACGTCACCAGTACCGTACGAACAAAATGACACCAGTGATGATGATGTGATAAGGACTTTTTGGGCACGTATGAATAATAAAGGTTCCTGCTATATTTGTGTTTTAGCATGCTACACTGCTGTTTTTGTTCCGTACCAGTATGCTAAATGTAAATATTGAATATATATATATATATATATATACCGAAATATTTTTTCCAAATGATTTCCTTTTAAAATCTTAGGGTGTCTTATGGGCCAGAAAATGCTAGGGCACTGTACAAATCGTAACACAAAAACTAGAGAAAACTTACGAAGGAACTTTGTAACTTAATCCAGGGACAGAGGGTGGTAGCTGAGCTCTTTTTGGGCTCCTCCCTGGCGTGAGGTTCAGCCTCAGCTGTCCACGTTTTTCTATTGAAAAAACAAAACCAAAAACTTTGTTTAAACAATATACAAACTTGCATTAAAACTCATAAATCTTAAATCTAAACAGAGATTTCCAAGTTAAGTACAGATCACTTGAATAAAAACTTCCAATTTTACATACTTAAAACAACATCTGCTGCCATGTTAAATTTGTGAAAAATATTTGTACTTAATAGCATTAAGAGTGACAAAAGGATTAAAAATAAGACCACAGATCTAGTGAGACAAAGGTGGTTAATGAGGTTTATATTTCCATCTCAATAAACAATAATTTAACTATAGTATCACTGTAATTAGATACACTACAAATAAAGAAATATACACCTACTTTCTCCAGTGGCTTGCTTTCCCTTAACGAAAGTATGTACGGTGTAACTAGTTAAAACTTGTATTAATACCTTTTTCATTGTTTCACAAAGAAAAAAAAAAAAAAGGAACAAGGGATCAGTGGTGTGAATTTTTTAAACCAATTTCTAGTTCAAGAGATAAAATTGTGAAAGGATATAAACAATTTATGTCATGGTTTATTGTGAAGGGATATAAACAATTTATTTTACAGTTTACTGTGAAGGGATATAAACAATTTATGTTAC